TTTTTTTTCAAAAAAAAAAGTGGAAATTATAGTTAAATATGTAGTTTAAAGTTTCGTTTTCTTTTTGGATTTTTATTATGTTATGTTTATTATTAATTTTATTTTTTTTAATAATATTTTTTGTATTATATTAAAATATATATAGATTAGTTACTAATAAATCAGTCTATAATTAAAAATGTGTTTGTTTTTATATAATATATATGGTTTATTTTATGTTATAGTATGGTAGGTTTTGCGTTTTTTTTCTTTTTTAATTTTATTATTACAACTTATTTCTTAATTAAATGTATTTTTTTTAGATTTTGTGTGTTTAATTAATGTTTTTTTTATGTTAATTTTACTGAGCTGCAAATTTTTGTTGTTTTAGGGGGAGGTGAGTTTGATAAAGTTTTGTTTTATTTTATGTTAATTTAGTTTTAAACAGTTTTTTCGTTTTTTTAGCTTTCTTTGAATAACAAATTAACGCTGCAGCTGTTGTTTTAGAAGTTGTAGAAATTTTAAGTTTTTTTTTTTTATCTTACAATTAGTACATACTTCTTAATATTTTTTGTACGCTTGTACTTTATTTTATATTATTTATTGAATATTTTATTTTAATGAAAGCTATATTTATAAATGGTTTGTGGTCACTTGTTCTATGGAAAGTTTCCTCTGTTTTATAGAAACCGAAAACATTTATTTTTTTTTGATGAAACTGTGTCCGTTTTGTTATTTAGATAAATTTTTATAAATTGGAATCTGTTAGAAAGAGTTTGAAACTAATTCGTTTTGAAAATATGTAGATCTATTCGATATTCTGCTTGTAATCGATTTGCAAGTTGTTGATAAACTAAAAGTTTTAAAAGCTAAATTTATTTTCTTTAAAAACAAAGCACTTGGTATTACAATTACCATTGCATATTTACAACAGTTAAAAGTTTTAAACTTCATTCAAAGAGTTAGCATAACTCTACATCTCAAGAACAAAAATCGTTTGCAAAATGTTAAAACAATACAATAGTTTACATATGTATGTATGTGGTTGTAAATTTTTAGAAAACGCTCTGTAGCTTTTTTGCAAGAGTGGCAAATATGTCATAATTTGTTGCTTTCAAACGTTCAAGGTTTTGTTTTAATAATATAACAAAATTATATTGCTTTTGATCTCAGCTTTTGTCAAAGATCATTCGGCCATTGCATTTTTACAATAGTTAAAAGCTTACAGTTTTTATTGTATTACAAGCCGTATCTAACATTCACCTAAAAATGACAGCAATGTTGGAAAATAAGAGAAAAGTATAGAGAGCAAACAATTGGCTTTAAAAGATTCTGACATTGCAATAGTGTTAATAGTTGCAAACTTGGCAAATAACATATTGCATAGTATATTTGCAAGAGTATTTGTATATCGAAAATAATAAAAAGCAAATAATTTACTTTAAAATGATCTTTCATAGTTTCCTTAGTTGCAATATTTAGTTCCATAATGTGTTGCTTCAAAAAGGTCTAGAAGTTTTCAATCATATAACATAATTGTAAGTTTTTCCGGGTTTATATACTACAAATTCGCGAAGTGCTGTATGTCTTAATTTTAGTACTTCTGATCTGTTTTACTTATGCTTCACCTCTAAGTGTTAATTTACTATGAATAGCGAATCGCTATAGTAACAAAACTATGGCATTTACAAAACTTTACAAATATTATGTAAATATAATAAAGAGGCTTCAGCTTTCGTAGCATATTTACAAGAGTAGCAAATCACAGTAGTGGATAATTTTGATAGCAATTTGCAGCATCTGTTCAAGGTTAGCGAAACTTAGTGACACTCTCTACGATTTAATATTTTAATGAAATCCTTGGATGCCACTCTTTAATTCAATTCGAAAAGAAGAAATGTTTCAATTTGTAAGTTTGTATGTATTTCTACAGCTTTTTCTAGATTGTATGTATTTCTACAGCTTTTTCTTTTCTTGTAGGAATGAATTCGGGATCGTAAACGAAATGCAGAATAGGGAGTGATTATCTATATCTTTTAAATCATTCCGAATAGAATTTGTGAATTGGAATCGAAATTTTCACCGTTTGGCAACTTTGGTATTCTGCATTACAATTCGAAGCTCCGTCATTGAAATAACAACTTACAAAAAAGTAGTTACGATCGTAATGCAGAATACACAGAAATGAAATAAAAATGCTTCTTCTTTTTCTTACTATTCCGTTTTTTGATGGAATACGAATTTTCGATCGTAACGTAGCTGAATGCGGAAACGTAATCGAAATGCAGAATAGGGGTGAATTTGAAACTGTCTGTCTTATCATGCACTTTAGTGTTACGATTTCATTGTTTGCTTGAAAGGTTGATGTATGTCCGAAGAAATATACCTAGCCCACTATTGGAACTGTTGCGCTTCTTAACCAAAATCTCTGGTAGGAATCGTACCCACAACGCACGGAACGATAGACTAGAACACTACCCGCTAACTTAGCGGAGGAGCTAGCTGCAAACTATATTCACCCCTATTCTGTATTTCAATTCGAATCGAAATATAGATCTTTTGATCGCGAATGAATGTGGGAACGTTATATCTTCAAATGGAATGGAATTTGTGATTAATTTAAAACTGCCTTATCATGCAGTTTAGTTTTAAGATTTGATAGATCACTTTCGGGTCTGTTGTGCACTCTAATGGTAATCTTATCAACGGCCGGACTGACCCAATATCTCCTATTCGGCATCGATTCTATTACGATCGAAAACCACTTGATGGAACAGTGAAAACTATAATATCTTTTTTTCCATCGTTTCATAAGGGAATGCGAAAACGTAATCGAACCGATGCAGAATAGAGGAGATTGTTCCAAATTTCTATTAAAAGTTCATAAGAGCATATTTTTTTGTGAAGGAAATTTTAACTCTTTAAAGGTATATTTTAGACGAAACAACAATTATGGACTAAAAAACGATACTTTGATTCTTGAGCATATAATTTTGCATATTACACTCTTAAGGGCATATTTTGGCATATATCTTTTTATGAAGCGTATTTTGACCTTTTTAAAGGCATATGCTATTAGAAGAGACTAAAAACATTTCTTTTAAAGAATATTTGCATTTGCATATCTTTACAAAAGAAAGGCTTGTTTCGGTCTTGAGTGCATATTTTTCATATAACACCTTTATATTTCCACAATCCATTTTTATAAAGCATATGTTGACCCTTTAAAAACATATTTAATGCAATGCAATAGGTCTCTCTTGAAAGCTTATTTCTGTATATTTTTACCAAAATATGGCTTGTTTGGATATTAAGTGCATATTTTTGCATATAATACTCTTAAGAGCATATTTGGACATATTTCCACAAGATCTTTTTATAAAGCATATTTTGACCTTTTAAAGACTTATTTAAAACCAAAGGTCATTTCTGTGTAAAGCTTATTTTTGTATATTTATACCAAATATAGGGCTTGTTTGGCTCTAGAGAGCATATTTTTGCATATTTAACTTTTAAAAGCATATTTAAACATAATTCCATTAAAAATGCCGGTTTCTGAACATTTTAACGACCTTTTTAAAGTCATATTTAGCTGCAACAAATTTTTAAATAAAGAAAATCTTCTAATTAGTTTAAGTTAATTTACAAAAAATTGTAATTAAATAAGAAATTTATTTAAAAAAAAAATATGTGTCTAATTTTGTGCAAATTTTTTTTGCATACAAAGCGTCATTTTTATAAAGTCTTATTAAGAAAAGAAAATATGTATTTAGGCTTAAACTACAAAACGGAGACACACAGTTCTTCTCTTTTTCTTTCGGTGGCTCTTGGTTTAAGATATTTTAAAACAATTTTGTTTTAATTAATTATTATTAATATTATTGTGGTTGGTATGTATAATAATAATAACATAGTATTTGTAAGTATGGTTGTTGGTTGTTAAGAATGGAATTATTTGTTTTGTTTTTATTTAGTATTATAACTTAAATTTAAAAAATATGTTTTATTATTTTTTTTAATTGTTTTTTTTTTCTTTGTTTTTAACTTCTATATTATATTTATATATGTGTACAATATTGTTTACTGGCAATATTTGGGGCAGATTTTTTTTATATTTTATTATTTAATATTTTCTAAATATATACCTTATAAATTGAGGAGGACGCCTTCTTAAGAGGTGTTTCTGTATTATGTGAATTATAGTAAATGTACTTTGTCTGTTGAGTGTGAGTAGAGAGAAGGGGTTTTCTTTTTCTTTTGTTGTTATTGGTTTGGGGGAGTTTTTTCTTTCAAAAGAAATTTAAAGGAAGAGCTTAAAATACTTATACAAGAAATTTGTTTTGTAGGGTAAGGGGGGAGTAATAATTTTAACTAATAGAGATTTTTAAAACAAATTATGATTTAAAATAACAAAAAAACAAATTCTTCTATATAAAAAAAACGTTAACTGTGTTGTTTGTTTTGGACATTTGGAAGCGTTAATTGATTTAATTGATTAAACAAAAACATTTAAAGAGAAAACAAACAAAATTTCAATTGTTTTATAAAAAAAACAAGACAATATATGTGTAACAGAAAAACTATATATATATATATATAAGATTGCAAAGAGGGGCGTCTAAAACAAAGTATTTTTGTTGTTGTTGTTGTTGTGTTGGTGGTTTCTTAGCAATTATTATTTTAATTAAATTTTGTTAATAAATCATTAAATTAAATTAATTAATTATATATATAATAATAATAAAAAAAACATAAACATAAAGCTAAAATTTGCCGGTTTGTTTTTGTAATAACAAACAAAATTGTAATAAATTTTGTTTTCAACGAACAAAATTATCAATATCAGTACTGTTTTGCAAATCATAATAAAACAAAAGCTAAAAAAACGTTTTAATTATAATAAAAAAAAACGAAATAATGAACAAGAAATGTTTCAGGGCGAAATGTATAGTTTAGAAAATTAAACTAAATTTTTTTTAAATGACAAATACTTTAACAGAAAGTTATTGCAATACTTTCCATTTTTTAAGGTATTTGTATTATCTTTAGAGGGGGGGGCTTTTTCGTTTTTGTAATTGGAAAACACTATGCGCATTATTAGTTAAGTTTAGCCTTTGTATTATGATTTTTTTAAGCTTATAAAGCCTTTTTTGTTTTGCATTCCTTTTGCTATTACAACTGTTTGGAAATTAAGTTGTATATATGTTATAATTACTTGTGTTTTTTTTTCGTTTTTCTCACTTTAGGCATAGATTAAAACTTGGCGTCTTTTAAAGAAATATTTATAAACATAATAACGTACTAAAATCAATTTGGAGATAAGATTTTCCTTGATTATTGTTACTAAATAATTAGCTTTTATTTCCTATGAACATTTAACACAAGCGCCTTCAACATCAAAATCAAGTACCATTAGTTTGGTCTCTTCGGTACCGTTACGTGATCCAACTGCGCAGATTAATTTTGTATCGTTGGCTCTGGAAGAAAGAAAAAAAGGATTAAATTAGTTTAAGATAAAGATTCTAAAGTCGGCTGTGCCGAATAATATCTATCTATCTATCTATCATCTATCTATCTATCTATCTATCTATATATCTATCTATCAATCTATATATCTATCTATCTATCTATCTATCTATCAATCTATATCTATCTATCTATCTATCTATCTACCTATCTATATTTATCTATCTATCTATCTATCTATCTATCTATCTATCTATCTATCTATCTATCTATCTATCTATCTATCTATCTATTTACCTATCTATCTATCTATCTATCTATCTATCTATCTATCTATCTATCTATCTATCTATCTATCTATCTATCTATCTATCTATCTATCTATCTATCTATCTATCTATCTATCTATCTATCTATCTATCTATCTATCTATCTATCTATCTATCTATCTATCTATCTATCTATCTATCTATCTATCTATCTATCTATCTATCTATCTATCTATCTATCTATCTATCTATCTATCTATCTATCTATCTATCTATCTATCTATCTATCTATCTATCTATCTATATCTATCTATCTATCTATCTATCTATCTATCTATCTATCTATCTATCTATCTATCTATCTATCTATCTATCTATCTATCTATCTATCTATCTATCTATCTATCTATCTTATCTACTTGTCGCACGACTGTAGATAGATAGATAGATATTAAAAAAAGAAGCAAACTCACCTTATACGCCAAACAACACCACCCGAACCACCCGAATCTAATGAAACTAAATTGCGTATAAATTCACCAGTCTTAACATCCCATAATTTCACGGTGCCATCATCCGAACTGGTGACAACAAAGCGGGAATTAAATTGCAAACATGTAACAGCCGATTGGTGCTTATTGGAACCTAAATTGAAAAACACACAGAATAACAAAAAGGAAAAAAATTAAGAAACAACATTCCTTTCAAAAAACAAAAACCGGCAACTTACCTGACAAGGTTTGTAAACATTGTCCCGTGGTAATGTCCCAAACTTTAACCGTAGAATCAGCATTACCGGAAACTAAAATATTTTCACGTAATTCCATGCCAGAAGTTAAACTTTGATGACCCATTAAAGTATGTTTACAATTGCCGGTTTCAACATCCCAAACTCTGATGGAGGTGTCCAAAGAACCACTAACGACATGAATGCCATCAAACTGGGAATAATATAGAATAAATTTCGAATCCTATTTTAATTAGAAAGAAAGTAAAACTTACTTGCAATGAATAAACTCTATTAGTATGACCTTGTAGAGTGTGTAGACATTCTGGTCGTTCTGGATGCCAAATTTTAACCATATAATCATAAGCTCCTGATACAATTAATTTACCATCGTATTGCACACAACGTACGGCCGCTAAATGACCAACTAAAACCCTTAAACAAGTACCCTGTTCAATATCCCAAACACGCAAAGTAGCATCACGAGAACCACTAACAACTCTGTGAAAATAACGAAAAAGTGATGAATTTATTAATGAAATATCAATAAAATCTTCCAACAACTTACTTGTTGCCATGTAGATGCATACAACGCACGGTGGAGGTATGACCCAAAAGTGTATGAACACATTGGCCCGTTTCCATGTCCCAAACTTTAAGAGTACGATCCGTACTACCTGAGATTATGATATTGCCCGACATTTGTGAAGACCAAACGCCGCCTGTATGACCCACCAAAGTGCGTAAACACTGAAATTTTGAAAACAAAATTGATTAATATAGAATTGAATAAAAATAAGAACAAAAACAAAAACTCACCCTTCCCGTAACCGCTGACCACACCTTTAATGTATTATCATCCGAACCGGAGACAATACGATTTCCGGAGAATTGTAAACATGTTATCACATGCTCATCGTGTCCTTTCAGTACTTTTGGCTGACGTATGGGTCGTGAACGCCAATTCATTTCGATTATGTGTTGACGCATATAAGCCGCCTTCCAAGGCGACGCAATCGGTGGCATGTTACCGGCTCTACCACGTTTTGGACGATCCGTCCGCGGTTCAGTCAATATTTGAGCCTGGCGACATTTCTCCTTCCACAACAGGTTGTCATCGCACAAGAAACGCCAACTGCGACAGGTTTGCGCGGCTCGCAACAGATCCTTAGGATCCAAATAGGAAAGTACTTGCAATGCCAACTCTCGAGGTAGTAAAGAAATAAAGTCTCGTTGAAATTGTGGTTCAATCACTTTCATCATGTGACGCACTTGTGTGGGTTCACAATGTTCGATCAGACGATCGACAGCCAAGAGACGTTCTGCATGAGACCAGCGTTGGAATTGTGACAGCCATTGCTGTAATTCTGGTGGCGGATTATCTCTTGTGGGTATAAGGGAACGTGGTGTGCGTCTGCCTAAAGGTGAACCGGTGGAGGAGGTGGCCAATAATTGTGAAGGTGTGGAAATATGAACCAAAGCTCCCGCATTAACTTGTGACGAACGAGGTGTTGAAGTGAAATCATAAGCCACACGCTTACGACTGTTACTTTCCAGACTCGCACCCGTACCTCCACTACCCGTTATTGTGGCTGAGTTGTAGTCATGTTCCATTAGACGTGTATCGGTGTATTTGCGTTTCCGTGTTCCTACACATTCGGGCGAGGCTGCTGCATCTTCTGATATGGAAAGGTTATGCATAATGTTATAGGATAGATCGGCGCCACCATCTTTGCCATACACATGTCCACCGTCCAGTTCATCAACATCATTTAGATCACTAATGCTACCGCCATGACTGCTGCCATCACTCATGGAATTCTGATGACACGTGCAAATCTCCTCGATATCTGAATTGTTTTCCTCACAATCATTCCACGAAGTATTCTGGTGATTGAAAGTGAAATTATTATCCAAATGTTCGTTGAGCATTCTAAAGCCATCCATAAGGTTTTGGGAAATCTCAGAACGGCGATGATTGGCGCTGCCACTACGGCTGGGTAGAGCGGCCGCTGACAAGCAAACATCGTTGCTGGCATTTGCGGAAACTCCTGCTCCACCAGCAATGGCATTCGAACGGGACAAATAGCGTTCACTAGTTTGAGCACTTGCATTCACTTGTCTTTGGGATCTGGGTGGAGGAGCATATTGGCATCTGGCCGATGAAGTGGAGGGTTGAACATCATCGTCATGTGCTTCATTGGAGGAGGATGAATTACTATTATGATTAGAATTATTGACAATAGGTTGTATGGCGCTGGTGCGACTACAGCCACTTTCGAGTACACAAGATGGAGCAGCTGTGGAGGATATGGACGATGTGGAGGATGAAGAATTTGTTGCTGATAAAGAAGTTGATGATGCTGCGGCGACTGTTGAGTGTTTGTTGTATACTTTCTGCTCCTGTGTTAATACTTCTGGACGTTTATTCAACGTCGAACTAGTTGAAGATGGTCGTGATGTAAGACTATCGTTCGAATTGGAATTTGAATAAATTTCTGAATTGTGTGAAGAGGCGGCTTCCACAATAACGCTGGTAGAATTTGCTGTTATGCCTGATGCGGATGAGGATGCTATTGCTGGTGTTAATGATGAGGAGTTGGTGGAGGATGATGAGGCAGATAATGTCGATGACAATGAGGAAGAGTTGGCGGAGAGGTTTAAAGATTTTGGTATTTGTTGTTGTTGTTCAGTACTGCTGCGTTGTGATGTTTTTGTAGTAAGTTCCTGCGCTTGTTGCTGTTGCGATTGCGGTTGTTGTTGTGGTTGATTATGACTTAGAGTGTTGCACAAATTCATTTTGGCAGTTGATTTGGTTAGACGTACCATTAGTTTACGACTACTTGTGGGTGTTGCTGACAAATCTTTATAGGTACATTTACTATCAGAAGAAAATCCTCTGGAATGGCTACTAGAAGGTTGCTCCTCTCCACTATTTGCATTATTGTTATTGTTTTTCTGCTGCTGCTGTTGTTGTTGCGATTTAACCAATCCCAAGTCAAGCACGTTGTTTTTAATCAGCGAACTTGATTTTAAAATAATACCTCCCGTTAGACGTTGTTCATGTTCAAAGTCACGACGTTCAATTAAATCCATTGACTCTATATCCGATAGTGAGGGCATTAAGATCGATGATGAATTCGATGCACTTGAAGAGGAGGAAGTAGGCAAATCCTGAGAATTTATATTGTTATTTGTATTGCCGTGATTCAAGTTCATCTTTTTCAAACGTGATGACATGCGTTCATGAGCCTGTGTCTCGGGACAGGGTTGAGATTCGGTTAAATCGTAAATCATATCATTGGACTCTTGCAAAAGTTTACTACTTGCCGCCGTCGAAGAAGTGGGAGTTTCATTTGTATTTGCCGAATTTTTAGAAAATTCATCACTTAAACGTTTTGGCTTCATATTGTTTTCGTTGGCAAATTCGTTGAGGGACGTTGACTTCGAGGAGTTTGTAATTTGCGAATGATGGAGATGATGGTGATGATGATGTTGTTGTTCTTCTACAACAGGAGTTTCTAAGAAGATCATAGCTCCATTGGTACTCATAATAACACCATTAGTTTGGTTTTGTGTTGTAGAAGAGTCCTGTGTTGAGGTGGTGGTATTTTGTGTTGAACGTTGGGAAGATTGATTTGTGATATTCATATCACATTCTTCCTCTTCATCTTCTGCATCTTCTACATCATCATCATCTTCGTCTTCTTCGATATGCAGATTGTCGTCTATATTTATTAAATTGCCCTCAATAATTTCTTCAACATCGTCATCATCTTCAGCTTCATTTACAACATCTTCTTCCTCATCAACGTCGTCATCTTCATCATCTTCCTCCTCGTCATCATCATCATCGTTGATGACATAAATCTCTGATGGATTAAAAAATCCATTATTACTTGCTGCCGATTCAGTGGATGCATCGGAAACCTTTATTATTTGTATGGCATCTGTGGAGGAACTATCATCCACTACCGCCACCGGTTCTGAGGTGACATCATCATTTGTCGTTGGCAATAGATTTGAGGAACTTATCTCATATGCTTCCAATACTCCCGATGTTGTTGTCTCATCGTCTTCGTCCAAGACTTCGGCAAAATCATGTTGTGAATTTGTTTCAAATTCTTCTTGTAGCAGAGACATGGAACTACGACTTGTGGTGGCCTTATCAAAATCTTCTTTATCTACCGAAGAGTTTAAAGAGATTTGATCAGTACTGCTGCGACTGCCGTTTGATGTGGACGATAATGTTGAGGATGTTGAAGACGACGAGGACGACGTTATAAAAAATGGTGTCTTGTTGGAACAATTGTTACTTGGCGTTATAGTTGTTGTTATGTTTGAAGAAGTTTTGGTTAGATTTAATGCGACTGTTTCAAATTGATCGATACATTTTTCTTCCATAATATACCTTAAAGGAATTAAGGTTGTTGTTTTATTTCTTGGACTTTTTCACTCGTATTTTGTGGGTTGTATAAATGTAATGAAGTATTACGTTATATAGTCTATGCAATTTTTATTTTGAAGGTTTGAAGTTCTGAAAAGAAAGAGGAAAAAATAGAAATGTTTATTAATTTAATTGTTAATACGTAATGAAATGTTGAAATAGCGAAAATTTTCTATAAAAAATGCTGCAAACTTAGTTCTGTTTCTGTTCGGATTTAAATTATGGAAAATTTAGATTATAGGCTTGAACTATTGCTAATGATTGTTTAATTACTATTATAATTAGTTCAGTTTTAGTTCGGTCTAGTTCAGTTTTAGTTCAGATCTAGTTCAGTTCTAGTTCAGTTCTAGCTCAGTTCTAGTTCAGTTCTAGTTCAGTTCAGTTCTGGTTCAGTTCTGGTTCAGTTCTGGTTCAGTTCTGGTTCAGTTCTGGTTCAGTTCTGGTTCAGTTCTGGTTCAGTTCTAGTTCAGTTCTAGTTCAGTTCTAGTTCAGTTCTAGTTCAGTTCTAGTTCAGTTCTAGTTCAGTTCTAGTTCAGTTCTAGTTCAGTTCTAGTTCAGTTCTAGTTCAGATCTAGTTCAGTTCTAGTTCAGTTCTAGTTCAGTTCTAGTTCAGTTCTAGTTCAGTTCTAGTTCAGTTCTAGTTCAGTTCTAGTTCAGTTCTAGTTCAGTTCTAGTTCAGTTCTAGTTCAGTTCTAGTTCAGTTCTAGTTCAGTTCTAGTTCAGTTCTAGTTCAGTTCTAGTTCATTCCGAGTTCAGTTCTAGTTCAGTTCTAGTTCAGTTCTAGTTCAGGTCTAGTTCAGTTCTAGTTCAGTTTAGTTCAGTTCTAGGTTCAGTTCTAGTTCAGTTCTAGTTCATTAGTTCAGTTCTAGTTCAGTTATTCAGTTCTATGTTCTAGTTCAGTTCTAGTTCAGTTCTAGTTCAGTTCTAGTAGTTCTAGTCATTCTAGTGTCAGTTCTAGTTCAGTTCTAGTTCAGTTCGAGTTCAGTTCTAGTTCAGTGTTATAGTTCAGTTCTAGTTAATTCTAGTTCAGTTCTAGTTTCAGTTCTAGTTCAGTTCTAGTTCAAGTTCTAGTGCAGTTCTAGTTCAGTTCTAGTTCAGTTCTAGTTCATTCTAGTTCAGTTCTAGGTTCCGTTCTAGTTCAGTTCTAGTTCAGTTCTAGTTCAGTTCTAGTTCAGTTCTAGTTCAGATTCTAGTTCAGTTCTAGTTCAGTTCTAGTTCAGTTCTAGTTCAGTTCTAGTTCAGTTCTAGTTCAGTTCTATCAGTCTAGGTTCAGTTCTAGTTCAGTTCTAGTTCAGTTCTAGTTCAGTTTCTAGTTCAGTTCTAGTCAGTTCTAGTTCAGTTCTAGTTCAGTTCTAGTTCAGTTCTAGTTCAGTTCAGTTCTAGTTCTAGTTCAGTTCTAGTTCTAGTTCAGTTCTAGTTCAGTTCTAGTTCAGTTATAGTTCAGTTCTAGTTCAGTTAGTTCAGTTCTAGTTCAGTTCTAGTTCAGTTCTAGTTCAGTTCTAGTCAGTTCTAGTTCAGTTCTAGTTCAAGTTCTAGTTCAGTTCTAGTTCAGTTCTAGTTCAGTTCTAGTTCAGTTCTAGTTCAGTTCTAGTTCAGTTCTAGTTCAGTTCTAGTTCAGTTCTAGTTCAGTTCTAGTTCAGTTCTAGTTCAGTTCTAGTTCAGTTCTAGTTCAGTTCTAGTTCAGTTCTAGTTCAGTTCTAGTTCAGTTCTAGTTCAGTTCTAGTTCAGTTCTAGTTCAGTTTCTAGTTCAGTTCTAGTTCAGTTCTAGTTCAGTTCTAGTTCAGTTCTAGTTCAGTTCTAGTTCAGTTCTAGTTCAGTTCTAGTTCAGTTCTAGTTCAGTTCTAGTTCAGTTCTAGTTCAGTTCTAGTTCAGTTCTAGTTCAGTTCTAGTTCAGTTCTAGTTCAGTTCTAGTTCAGTCTAGTTCAGTTCTAGTTCAGTTCTAGTTTAGTTCTAGTTCAGTTCTAGTTCAGTTCTAGTTCAGTTCTAGTTCAGTTCTAGTTCAGTTCTAGTTCAGTTCTAGTTCAGTTCTAGTTCAGTTCTAGTTCAGTTCTAGTTCAGTTCTAGTTCAGTTCTAGTTCAGTTCTAGTTCAGTTCTAGTTCAGTTCTAGTTCAGTTCTAGTTCAGTTCAAGTTCAGTTCTAGTTCAGTTATAGTTAAGTTCTAATTTTGGTTGATACTGCTGAGTTGGCAACCGGGTTATTCTGAATCGAAGTTCCAACTGTTGAGAAAAGATAAGTTTGTCGCTGACAATGGAGTTCAAGATTACGTTCTTGTGTTAATACTTCTGGTTATTCAGGAAGAAATTGAGAATCGTAGTCATTTATGTATATAAATTCGAAGTGTAGCTTAATTTTTAGATTATTTATTATTTAATCATTTGGTTATAAATAAATTAATTACATATATATTTAATTACATTTCGCCACCATGGCGAAAAACAAATTAAATAAAAACATTTTTAAACATTTTTGTTGATTTCCATTTACTTTTGTTTCGACTTTTTAGAAAAGGCAGTAAAAAAAAGAGCTCAAATAAATTAGTTAAAATTATTCACATTTTTCAGAATTATAGTAAAATCATAACCTTTTAGGTATTCCGGGTATTAAACAAAACGCCAATTTTTTATCACAAAGAGATTTTTAAACAATTTAAATGAACTCACAATTATTTTAAACACGTTAATAATGTTGTTGCAAACAAATAATTTTTTTCACAAGTAAACATTTTATAAATTCCAATATATTGTGTGTGATTTTATTTATTTAGCAATACACTATGTTAGCAGACGTCATAATGCAACAGCAACCAAAGGTTAAATGGCCAATTTGCAGAATGAAAATCGAAACACGAAAAAAGAACCTCAAAACACCTGTTTCTTTTGTTACCATCGATACTCTACTTTTTTCAATATTATTTTTTTCTTGTATTACACATGTTGTAAATATTAACTTCATTTTAAGTAATTACACACTTTCCGAGTTCTTTAGAATTCATTTTTATTTATTATATATACTTTAAAGAAAAACTAAATGAAAAAACTAAATTACCACAAATTAATCAACATTCAATTAAAGTAATATTAATTTATCATAATTACAAATTTAAACTTATGAAAAATATAAATAAAAAATGACTGGAGAAAAAAAGTAATCCTTCTCTTCGTTTACAAAACTGAACGCAACTGAAATATACGATTATACTCAATACAACTCATCACTCTACTACCTACTCGTCGTAGTACAAATCCACAATACACAACTGCCAACCAACATTCCGCAATGAATTAATACCGACTGACTGACGGAGAGAGAGAATAGGAAAATAAAAATAAAGTGTATAAACGGAACGGACAAAAAATGGCAAAATTCCCATAGTGGTGGAGTATTTGTGTACAAAAAAATAAGATGAAATAAAATTAAAACAGACAACAACAGCAACTAAAACGAAATGGAAACAAATGGAAGTTGTTGATAATAATGATGATGCTATTACAACAACAATATTAACTACAACAAATGTCAGTACCACAGAGATGTATGGAGATGCATTGTTTTTAGGTTTAAGTACTATCTGTGATTAAAATTTAGTACCTGAGTTGAAGTGAATGACTAAGTTCTTAGTATTAAGTAGAAATAATTTAAAATTTTGCTCCCATTTATTGCAAATGAGTTCAAATATGTTTGCAAACATGCTATTGTTCTTTTAAGAAATTTGTTCAAGTGATTTCTATCCTATATATTCATACCATTTATACTGTTTGGCTGTTTTGACTAAGATATACATATAATTTTCTTGAAAATTTCCAGTTCAGTTCTAGTTCTGTTTTAGTTCAGTTCTAGTTCAGTTTCTAGTCAGTTCTAGTTCAGTTCTAGTTCAGTTCACTTCTAGTTCAGTTGTAGTTCAGTCAAAGTTCAGTTCTAGTTCAGTTCTAGTTCAGTTCTAGTTCAGTTCTAGTTCAGATCTAGTTCATTTCTAGTGTCAGTTCACTTCTAGTTCAGTTCTAGTTCAGTCCTAGTTCATTCAGTTCTAGTTCAGTTCTAGTTCAGTTCTAATTCAGTTCTATTCAGTTCAGTTCATCTAGTTCAGTTCTAGTTCAAGTTCTAGTTCAGTTCTAGTTCAGTTCTAGTTCAGTTCTAGTTCAGTTCTAGTTCAGTTCTAGTCAGTTCTAGTTCAGTTCTAGTTCATTCTAGTTCAGTTCTAGTTCAGTTCTAGTTCAGTTCTAGTCAGTTCTAGTTCAGTTCTAGTTCAGTTCTAGTTCAGTTCTAGTTCAGTTCTAGTTCGTTCTAGTCAGTTCTAGTTCAGTTCTATTCAGTTCTAGTTCAGTTCTAGTTCAGTTCTAGTTCAGTTCTAGTTCAGTTCTAGTTCAGTTCTAGTTCAGTTCTAGTTCAGTTCTAGTTCAGTTCTAGTTCAGTTCTAGTTCAGTTCTAGTTCAGTTCTAGTTCAGTTAGTTCAGTTCTAGTTCAGTTCTAGTTCAGTTCTAGTTCAGTTCTAGTTCAGTTCTAGTTCAGCTCAGTTCTAGTTCAGCTCAGTTCTAGTTCAGTTCTAGTTCAATTCTAGTTCAGTTGTAGTTCAGTTATAGTTCAGTTCTAGTTCAGTTCTAGTTCAGTTCTAGTTCAGTTCAGTTCAGTTCTTGTTCAGTTCTTGTTCAGTTCTAGTTCAGTTCTAGTTCAGTTCTAGTTCACTTCTAGTTCAGTTCTAATGCAGTTCTAATGCAGTTCTAGTTCAGTTCTAGTTCAGTTCTAGTTCAGTTCAAAAACAGATTTTAAATACATATTCCGAAAGAATTGCAACTCCCCCAAAAAAAAGTACATTATTTCATCAAACTACACATTTTAGTACCAATATCCAGAAAATTCGCATCCCTCCTAACAGAAAATAAACAACAAAAACCAAAAACTACAAAGATTTTTTGCTCTTCCACGAGATACAACAAAGTAGTAGTAAGAAACTAAGAAAGATCACAGTCACAAGGCGGCAGTTGTTATTCTCACGTAGAAGTGGCAGTAAAATAAAAATCCAGATATAATAAAAACAAAACGAAAAATAAGCAAATAAAACGATGGGAAAATACACACACATCCAAAAAAGAAAACACCAACTGATGAACACATGGAACCGAGAAGAAGAAGAAGATGGTGAGCAAAAAAGCAACTACAATAACAGACAGATATACAGAGTGTGTGTGTGTAACAACAAAAAACATATTTTTTGTTTGGTCCTAGTTGCTGAGTTATTAAGAAAACAACCCGCAAGGCAGGCTGGCTGACAAACTGAACAACCAGCGAAGCAACCAACCAACCCAACCAGCCATCAATGAAGGAAATATTTTTAAAATGCAAACAACAACAACAACAAAAATTCACAAGTGAAGCATCAGCAGCAGATAAAGTAAAGAAGATTTCTTCGGTTTTAAAAGCAGATTTCAAAATAAACAATTTTTCGTATCATCAAAAGAATATTTTTTGTATTAGAGGTCAATGAAAGAGGAGGAGGTAGAGAATCTTTTTGTCGTTTTTCTTTTTTTTTCGTTTTAAATTACCTTGCAAAATATTTAAAGTCAAAAATAGCTATGGATGTGTATGAGTGTAGTAAAGATTGTTGAAATGTTTGCAGGGGAGTTAGAATATTGGGATTATATAAAGTATATACACAGGTAATATAAACATAGAGGAGATTAGCAAATATTTAACCGGGATACTAATTTGGTAAAGTGTATATAAGGGGTGCGAAGATATACCTAACCTTGTTGATATTTTAATCATTTTTAAGGAAATAGCAAAGAAACTGATTTAAAATATTTTAAGTATTTGAAGATTTGTAATTTTAAGAATTCAACATTTGTAGTAAATCGCGCCCTTGTAAACATTGCTTTTGAAAAAATGCTCCTGTATGCAAAATAAAAACACAAAAATGTCTGAAATTGTTACTTTTTATGTTAAAGTAAATTTGCAAGACTAAAAATCATTGTAAATAAGTCTTGTAAATATGCAAGGTTGTATATTAATTTTAGCATTTTATTTATATTTGCAAGATCACAATAACAACTCATGTAAAACTATTATTTTCTAAAATTATGGAAATTTGCAAAGTTAAAAATCGTTGTAAATTAGAGCATTTATTAAACAAAACTTTCAAATATAATAATTTCTAACTTTAATACCCTTGTAAACATAGTAATTTAAATAAAAACGCTCCAGTTTGCACATAAAATATGTAAAAAGAAATTTATTTATATTTTCAAGATCGAATACCATTGCAAACTTGTTTTGCAAGATGTCAAAAGGATTATAGTTTTGAAGTCAGAAACACAAATATTGAACTTAAGTAAAATTAAATCAGACTTTCGTTTTGTAGTTAGAGTTTTCTACTCTTGCACATTACCCTTGCAAATAAAATTCATAAATTATTATATTATTATCTAGCGTGCTTCAGTTTGCATTTCAAAATATGTAAAACTGTTATTAAAAGACTTTTATTTATATTTGCAAGACCAAAAATCATTGCAAATCACTATTGCAAATAAGCAAGGTGTATAGAAGATAATAGTTTTGAAGTATGAAAACTTTATGTTGAATTTAAGTTAAAATGAAAACTGAATTTCGTTTTAAAGTTACAATTTCTAAACAATTGCTAAACTTACGATTATAATACATATAACCCTTGCAAATGAAATAAGCTTAACAAAAATGCTTCAGTTTGCATATAAAATATGTAAAAATGTTCGTGTCAAGTTTATTTATATTTGCAAAGCTGTGTTGCAAATATGCAAGATGTAAACAATATTATAGTTTTCAGACAGAAATGACATATATATGTTGATTTTAATTTAGTAGTTAAAGTGTATAGAAAATTTGCTTTTCTTGCAAGACTTGCAAGTCCTAAAATCATTAAAAATATGTGTTGCAAATATGCAAGCTGTAAACAAGATGACATTTTTTAAATGAGAAAAACTTTACATTGAATTTAAGTTAAAATTAAAATAGAATTTAGTTTTGCAGTTTAAATTTATAGAAAATTTACTACTCTTGCAAATAAAATATAATTGCAAAGTAACTTACCCTTGCAAACGTAAAAATTCTAACAAAAATGTTTCAGTTTGCAAGATCACATACAAAAATTAATGGTGTCCAAAGAAACGCCTTAAATTCTATGGATTAAAACCTATACAAAAACCCCCTACAAATTTCACAATAAATTTGCTAGAGTGACGAAAACATTTCTCTCTTCATTGCTTATGAATTTTCTTTCAGCAAAAAAAAAAACAATATTTTTCTAAGCTGTAATATAAAACAACAACAAAAAACTTAACAGAATACATACCATAAAATCGAAAAGAAAAAAAAAAAAAACACAGCAGAAAATTTCAAATGAATTCTAAAGCATAACAAATTGGCAATCAATGAAAAAAATCTTTAATTCAAAACTATACCTTTACAAAAAAGAAGTTGTATAGTTATGTGTATATAGTAGAGGTGTAGTATTCCTGTTTAGAGGAATAAAAATTCCCATAGTACAATTTTTATATAACTGCATCAGCAACAACAACAACAACAGCAACAAAATCACACAATCATTTTTACACTCGTTGAGAATTGAAGTAAAACTATAGTGTCTAGATTTAGGTAAAACGCATCTTGTGTTGTGTATCTTCTTCACTTTCATTTAATATCACTCATTTATATTGTTGTGTTTGTTGTTACTGGATAAATTCTCAGCAGCTTCCATTCAGTTTTGATTAAAAATAAAAAGAAAAAAAAAAAAAAACAAAAAACTATCAAGAAGAATATTGTGTTGATGAAAATTGTCGTTGATTGTGTCATCAGTATTTTTAAAGAATGTCATCTTTTTATATTTTGCTGTTTATGCTTAAAATAATAATAATTAATATTCAAATATGAATTTGACACTTTGATGACGAAAACTAACAGCTGGCAAATATGCTACCCTGTGTCGGGTTTAGAACTAGTGGCTATTTTTCATATTTTTAATTGTTTTTCAAATAAGGGAAGGGGACAGTATTTGTTTTCGTTTTTTATTTCAATTACTTATGACTTTGTTTTCATGGTTAAGAAGAATACTTGTTTTCCCTAGAGCTTAATAATAAAAGATTATTATAATTTAAATAAACCATTTTTAAAAACTAGTTTACTATTGCAGATGCAAGTATTGCAAATTTTCTAGAAATTTTGTCAACAAAGGGAATGTTTTTTAGTGAATTAATGTTAAATTCGACATTTTACTTTAACATTTGACTTTTAAATTTTTAAGCTGTTTACATTTAGCGATCTTGTAAACAAAAATGTTTTTATTAAACTTCCAATATTTGCAAGGTTTGTAAAATCTCTATAAGTGTTGCATACAAAGCGAAACTATGTCTTGTTCTAGTTCATATCTAGGCCCTTTCAGTTCTAGTTCAGTTCTAGTAAATTCCAGTTCAGTTCTGAGTCAGTTCTAGTTCAGTTCTAGTTCAGTTCTAGTTCAGTTCTAGTTCAGTTCTAGTTCAGTTCTATTTCAGTTCTAGTTCAGTTCTAGTTCAGTTCTAGTTCAGTTCTAGTTCAGTTCTAGTTCAGTTCCAGTTCAGTTCTAGTTCAGTTCTAGTTCAGTTCTAGTTCAGTTCTAGTTCAGTTCTAGTTCAGTTCTAGTTCAGTTCTAGTTCAGTTCTAGTTCAGTTCTAGTTCAGTTCTAGTTCAGTTCTAGTTCAGTTCTAGTTCAGTTCTAGTTCAGTTCTAGTAAATTCCAGTTCAGTTCTAGTACAGTTTTAGTTCAGATCTAGCTCAATTCGAGTTCACTTCTAGTTTAGTTCCAGTTCAGTTCTAGTTCAGTTCAAGTTCAGTTCTAGTTCAGTTCTAGTTCAGTTCTAGTTCAGTTCTAGTACAGTTCTAGTACAGTTCTAGTTCAGTTCTAGTTCAGTTCTAGTTCAGTTCTAGTTCAGTTCTAGTTCAGTTCTAGTTCAGTTCTAGTTCAGTTCTAGTTCAGTTCTAGTTCAGTTCTAGTTCAGTTCTAGTTCAGTTCTAGTTCAGTTCTAGTTCAGTTCTAGTTCAGTTCTAGATCAGTTCTAGTTCAGTTCTAGTTCAGTTCTAGTTCAGTTCTAGTTCAGTTCTAGTTCAGTTCTAGTTCAGTTCTAGTTCAGTTCTAGTTCAGTTCTAGTTCAGTTCTAGTTCAGTTCTAGTTCAGTTCTAGTTCAGTTCTAGTTCAGTTCTAGTTCAGTTCTAGTTCAGTTCTAGTTCAGTTCTAGTTCAGTTCTAGTCAGTTCTAGTTCAGTTCTAGTTCAGTTCTAGTTCAGTTCTAGTTCAGGTCTAGTTCAGTTCTAGTTCAGTTCTAGTTCAGTTCTAGTTCAGTTCTAGTTCAGTTCTAGTTCAGTTCTAGTTCAGTTCTAGTTCAGTTCTAGTTCAGTTCTAGTTCAGTTCTAGTTCAGTTCTAGTTCAGTTCTAGTTCAGTTCTAGTTCAGTTCTTTAGGCATTTTGTGAAAAATCGAGTTTCATACACTTCGAGAAAAAACTTTGATTTTGAAAACTACAAAGCCATTGCAAACAGGTCTTGCAAATAATTAAAACCCAAAACAAAAGTATTCGTTTGTATTCCCCAAACACAATACATTCTTTTATATACCACATGTAATGCAAAAAATAAAAACAAAACACAACAAAGTACATATTATTTCTCAATGCCATTACTCAGCCAATTCACAGTAAACGAACAATGTCGTAAAATTTAATTCATTTTATAGCTCTCCTCTCTCTTATACTTCCAACAATTGAATTCTTCTCTATATTCTTCTCTTTATCTTATTCTTTTCGATTCTTTTATTTATAATTTTTGCAATATATAGAAGAGGATATTTATTTTTCTTTTTGTCATTTACTTTTTGTTATTTTTATTTTTAAAGTTACATTACAATCGCTCTGTACTCGCAAAAAAAATATGCACACAAGTAAATGTATAAAAAGAATAAAAAATGAAAAGAAGAAAAACATAAGGTAATACCCTGCTGTTTCTCTTGTTTCCTGTGAGGTTTCATATGCCCAAGATCAGTCACTGAACTATAAGCAGCAGTTACACAAAAAAGAAATCTGAAGAAATAAGAAAAAAAAAAAAACCCAGTTGAGCTAGCTGACGCAGCAGCAGCTCATCTTTAACACATCACAAACCATCATCATTGGTAACGTCATTGCGAGCTCTTGATCTACCTGTAAATCTTCTAAAGTATAATACACAAAACGATATTCGTTCGTATTTTATATATTTTCCCAGACAAATCTTAAACTTTTTCTTTAGTTTCTTTTCTCCTTTTCTTCTTTATACATTTTATTTTTGTAAAGGATGTGTGAGCACATTTGCAGAAGAAGCCCTTTAAAGTAGAGTGTTGTTGTTCTTGGTTGCTGATGTTTATATATTGGTGACACTAAAATATTCACAACTAACCAATAAAGTGGCTGGGAAATGGTAGTTTGCAGCAGCAATATGCACAAAATTTAAAATGTAATTTACAAAAGTTATTGGCGGTAAAAAAGTAAATACATACATAATCAGAGACATGTGTATTTTTGTTTGACAAAGGCTGTGTGTTGTTACACATGCGTGGGAAATTATATAAAATGGGCATTAATTGTGTTAAATTTCATGCTTAATCATTTATTACTTATACTGATCAGGGTGGTCTGATTTGTAATGTTATGAAATACAATTTTTGGTTTTTGCAAAATATATATCAAAATTTCTATAAATTATTTTATATCTTTGCATGTATAATTAAATTTATTTTGCTAAATTTTCAACAATATCATTTCTATTAATGATTTAATAATTTAAAAGTTCCAGTCCAGTTTTAGTTCAGTTATTGTTGATTCATAGTACGTTACTAGTTCACTTATAAATAAGATTTACTTCAGTTCTAGTCTAATTCTAGTTCTGTTTTAGTTCAGTTCTAGTTCAATTCAAGTTTAGTTTTGTTGTAGTTCAGTTCTAGATCTGTACTAGTTGTGTTCTATTTAAGTTCTAGTTCAGTTCTAATTCAGTTCTAGTTCAGTTCTAGTTCAGTTCTAGTTCAGTTCTAGTTCAGTTCTAGTTCAGTTCTAGTTCAGTTCTAGTTCAGTTCTAGTTCAGTTCTAGTTCAGTCCTAGTTCAGTTCTAGTTCAGTTCTAGTTCAATTCTATTTCAGTTCGAGTTCAGTTCTAGTTCAGTTCTAGTTCAGTTCTAGTTCAGTTCTAGTTCAGTTCTAGTTCAGTTCTAGTACAGTTCTAGTACAGTTCTAGTACAGTTCTAGTTCAGTTCTAGTTCAGTTCTAGTTCAGTTCTAGTTCAGTTCTAGTTCAGTTCTAGTTCAGTTCTAGTTCAGTTCTAGTTCAGTTCTAGTTCAGTTCTAGTTCAGTTCTAGTTCAGTTCTAGTTCAGTTCTAGTTCAGTTCTAGTTCAGTTCTAGTTCAGTTCTAGTTCAGTTCTAGTTCAGTTCTAGTTCGGTTCCAGTTCAGTTCAGTTCTAGTTCAGTTCTAGTTCAGTTCTAGTTCAGTTCTAGTTCAGTTCTAGTTCAGTTCTAGTTCAGTTCTAGTTCAGTTCTAGTTCAGTTCTAGTTCAGTTCTAGTTCAGTTCTAGTTCAGTTCTAGTTCAGTTCTAGTTCAGTTCTAGTTCAGTTCTAGTTCAGTTCTAGTTCAGTTCTAGTTCAGTTCTAGTTCAGTTCTAGTTCAGTTCTAGTTCAGTTTTAGTTCGGTTCTAGTTCAGTTCTAGTTCAGTTCTAGTACAGTCCTAGTTCAGTTCTAGGTCAATTCTAGCTCAGTTCTAACTCAGTTCTAATTCAGTTATAGTTCACTTCAAGTTTAGCAGATGTTCAGTTTTAGTTTAGTTGTAGTTCAATTCGTGTTTACAATTATTTAAGTTTGTTCATTTTGTAAATTTTCTTCAGAATATACGCTTTAAAATAAACAATTACGGATTGCAACCTAATGTCTAATGACAAATTTGGGAAAGTTCCTTCAGTGCAAACAATTTATGTGTTATTAACTAAACAGTTCGTGTTGGTTTGTATGCTTAGCCATTTGAATCAATGAATTGTAAAATAGTCTCGTAACTGACTAATAGGTACTTATAGATCTAACAAATTTAGAAATCCGAAATAACTCTTATTACTTAAATAAATCTCTTACCCAGATGAAATTCTATACAAATAACTTTTTAATGTACTGTTTTATTATGTACATGAATCTTGTAATGGTTAGTACATGATTATTAAAAACTTCCACATACATATCTATGGTTTTAGTAGTAAAATTACATAAATTTAATTTTGTGGCAATTGATCCAAACTGTTCATAGCGTGTCTATAGGACTAACTTTAGAATTCAAGTTTTTATCTGTATAGGGTAAAACAAAATCGGTCCTGACAGACCTCACTTTTTTACTCGTTAATGCTTTATGTTGGATGGATATTATAAAAAGCTTTTTTAAGGGTACATGTTAAACCCAAAATATTTCGCAAAATGTTTTAATCAAAACATGGAATATCGGCTAGAGGAAAACAACATAACTTTTAACTGTAAATCATTTAACTATCATTAAATTAATAAAAAATAAACAAAAATTTTACTCAAAACATTTGTATACATAAATCGATAAAACAGTGCTTTTGTATCAAGGCTAAAATTAAAATAACAACAAACACCACATTTTGACAACATTAACAAAAAATTTGAAAACATTCAACTACGCAATAGCCATTAAAATTATTAATCTTAATAGAAATTTTAACACACAAAATTAATGTAAACATTTGGGCAAAAAAGGAAAATCTCACACTTTTATTGGTAAACTTTTTTGCATCCATTGTGTGCTGTGATGACAGTCCCATAACCTCACACTACGATGACGACGGACGACACCTGCAATGCAACACTGCGCCTAAATAAACATGGACACGACAAACCAAAAAACTGCGCTGCAACCAACAAAAAACCCGCTGCTGCAGCTATTGTTGACTTTCTTTATACATGAATATATGTTTTGATACAAAAAGTTTGTATCAAACATTTGAAGCAAATAACGTCGACCGCACGAAACATCGCCGTCGCTTCGTAAGTCTCGTTAGTTTTTTAAAGTGTTATAACACAACCACACATATGGCAAACGTCACGACACCCAGAAAATTTTTTTATTATAAGAATTTTTATTTTCTATTCAGCATTTTTTTCTAGGTTTTCTTTTTCAAAGTTTGCAAAATTTACTTTAAATATTGAGGTTTGACATTTTTTTGAAATTATATTTCGTCAGTTTTCGATGGTAGAAATTTTATGCAAAACTTTTTCTTTATTTTTTTTCTTGACAAAAAAGAAAAGCCAACCACTTCTTTTCTTACCTCGACCAATTAAGTATTTTTGCTGCTGCTGCCTTTTTTTCTCACAGTGAACTTCTTGGTTTTATTTTCTTTAGAAAATCACGTTTTCTTGTGGTATATTTCCACAATTTCTGTTTATTATTATATTTTAGTTAATTATTTGTTAAATATTATTAGTTTTTTATGTTTTTATAAATGTTACTAGCTGAAAATTGGCCAGCTTATTTTAATTAAAAAAATATTGCTACTTCTTCGACAGATTTCGTCGTTTCTTTCACACAGTGCTGCCAAACGATTAAAGTTGAATAATCGTCAAATTGCAATGGAAAAACGTCAAAGGCGACATTTTGAAGAGTGCTGCCAAATTGCTGTGAAAAAAGGTAATATAAGTGGCGATTTCTTTTATTAGATATATAACATAAAAATTAGTAAATACATATTTGGATTTCGAAAAAGGCATTTTCTAGTAGCAATTTACTTTCATTAATAATTTATTATGCATTTAGTTTGCGATTTAAAAATCCAACAAAAAATTAAGGTAATACAGTTTTCTAAGTAAGGCAGTTTATTTTGCTTCAAGTAAATCTGGTAATATTATGTTTTCGAGTTTAATACTCTTTGTTTACAACTGTGTGTAGAATTTCTTTCATAAAACGTGTGGCAGTGCTGCCTATATTTTTAAAATAAAAAGTCGCGCATTTCAAATAAATTTAAAACAAAAACTAATTGAAAGGACCATGTAACTTTATTTTATAATAATTTTTAATGCAATTTTTAATCTATTTTCTAACAAAAATGTCTAGAAAACCTTTTAAACTACCACAATCCACCAAATTGCTAATAAAATTCACTTGATTAAAGCACTCAATGTCCAACACTGTTCGTATCAAAAAAGCCTAAGACAGATTTAATAAGTTGTTCTCAGTACAACAGCTGATTAAATAAATTGAACACTCAGATGTCAAATCACATGTATAAAAAATAATCCGTCAACCATTGAAATATCAAACTTCATATATTAAAAAGTGAAGCATACAACTCTAAGGTAGTTTTATTAAATACACCTCTAAATAGCTTTTAGTTTTTAGTAAAATTTATAGTAGTTAAGTAAACGGTATGTGTTTTAATTTTCGTCAAATTTAGCCATAATATATTTTTAAAATTTTATATGTACATATATACTATATGTACTCATAAATGAAATAATTGACCTGGTCATTTGTATAAAAAATATATTTAATTAAAATTTTATTTAAAGACAAAGCATCTGTGTTTGTTACCTAAACATTAGTGCTGCTAAACGTATTCAAGAGGAGGGAGACTGTTGATTGTTTTTATTTTTGCCACCAAAGTTTGCAAAAAATAAAGGTAATTTTATACACATTGTTTTTGTTGTATTTATTGCAAATAAATAACGTTTTCTTATTAATTTGTTTACAATTTTCAGTTAAAATGGATTCGTTCGATGATTTGGAAGAAGCTGTAGTGGAATATATGGATCGGGGTATAGTTTTGATTATAGCCGATATATTAAGTTTGATCACAGTCTCCTCATGTTTATTTATAAAAATTCCTCAAATTAATACAATAAGACAGAATAAATCATCACAAGGTATGTATGTGTGTGTGAAAATATATTTAGTTAAACGTAAATTTAGAAATTTGTTCAAAATTTAGAAATAAACAATGTTTATTAAACATTGTTTGTGATATTGCTACGAGGATAAAATAAGTAAAATTTAAAGGAAATTGTTTTCTTGTAATAAAATTGATTTATTCAGATTAGAATCTGTAATCCTAATTAGAATAAATAAGTAGAATAAAGGGATAAATAGATTTATAGCATATTATTTATAATTAACGATATCTGTTGGAAAAATGTTCTATTTTAGTTCTGGTTTAGATCTAGTTCAGACCTAATTCTGTTCTAGTTTAGTTCTAGTTCATTTCTAGTTAATTTCTTGTTCAGTTTTAGTTCAGTTCTTGTTTAGTTCTTGTTTGATTCTTGTTTAGTTCTAGTTCAGTTCTGGTTCAGTTCTAGTTCAGTTCTAGTTCAGTTCTAGTTCAGTTCTAGTTCAGTTCTAGTTCAGTTCTAGTTCAGTTCTAGTTCAGTCTAGTCAGTTCTAGTTCAGTTCTAGTTCAGTTCTAGTTCAGTTCTAGTTCAGGGTTCTAGTTCAGTTCTAGTTCAGTTCTAGTTCAGTTCTAGTTCAGTTTCTAGTTCAGTTCTAGTTCAGTTCTAGTTCAGTTCTAGTTCAGTTCTAGTTCAGTTCTAGTTCAGTTCTAGTTCAGTTCTAGTTCAGTTCTAGTTCAGTTCTAGTTCAGTTCTAGTTCAGTTCTAGTTCAGTTCTAGTTCAGTTCTAGTTCAGTTCTAGTTCAGTTCTAGTTCAGTTCTAGTTCAGTTCTAGTTCAGTTCTAGTCAGTTCTAGTTCAGTTCTAGTTCAGTTCTAGTTCAGTTCTAGTTCAGTTCTAGTTCAGTTCTAGTTCAGTTCTAGTTCAGTTCTAGTTCAGTTCTAGTTCAGTTTCTAGTTCAAGTTCTAGTTCAGTTCTAGTTCAGTTCTAGTTCAGTTCTAGTTCAGTTCTAGTTCAGTTCTAGTTCAGTTCTAGTTCAGTTCTAGTTCAGTTCTAGTTCAGTTCTAGTTCAGTTCTAGTTCAGTTCTAGTTCAGTTCTAGTTCAGTTCTAGTTCAGTTCTAGTTCAGTTCTAGTTCAGTTCTAGTTCAGTTCTAGTTCAGTTCTAGTTCAGTTCTAGTTCAGTTCTAGTTCAGTTCTAGTTCAGTTCTAGTTCAGTTCTAGTTCAGTTCTAGTTCAGTTCTAGTTCAGTTCTAGTTCAGTTCTAGTTCAGTTCTAGTTCAGTTCTAGTTCAGTTCTAGTTCAGTTCTAGTTCAGTTCTAGTTCAGTTCAGTTCTAGTTCAGTTCTAGTTCAGTTCTAGTTCAGTTCTAGTTCAGTTCTAGTTCAGTTCTAGTTCAGTTCTAGTTCAGTTTAGTTCAGTTCTAGTTTAGTGTTGTAGTTCAGCTCTAGTTTAGTTGTAGTTCAGTTCTAGTTCAGTTCTAGTTCAGTTCTAGTTCAGTTCTAGTTCAGTTCTAGTTCAGTTCTAGTTCAGTTCTAGTTCAGTTCTAGTTCAGTTCTAGTTCAGTTCTAGTTCAGTTCTAGTCAGTTCTAGTTCAGTTCTAGTTCAGTTCTAGTTCAGTTCTAGTTCAGTTCTAGTTCAGTTCTAGTTCAGTTCTAGTTCAGTTCTAGTTCTAGTCAGTTCTAGTTCAGTTCTAGTTCAGTTCTAGTTCTAGTTCAGTTCTAGTTCAGTTCTAGTTTAGTTCTAGTTTAGTTGTAGTTCAGTTCTAGTTTAGTTGTAGTTCAGTTCTAGTTTATATATAGTTCGGTTCTAGTTCAGAACTAGTTAAGTTTTAGTTCCACAAATGTCTTCAAATTCTGTTATTTAACAAATTTTCTTTAATTTCCTCCCCCCTAGGCATTAGCGTCTTTGGCTTATGTTTAGAACTCTTCAGTTACACTGTTATGATGTCGTACAACTATACCAATGGCTATGAATTTCTTTCGTATATGGAATATCCCATCTTACTCCTGCAGGAGTATGTTTTAGTTTATTTTGTTTTTAAATATCAAAATCTATTGGGTCTTAAGACTAAACTCATAGCTGTTTTGTATGTCATCATTGCCACACTCATCTATATGAAATTATTCCCGGTTATTATATTACAATTTTTAGTGGTAAGTAAAATTTTTTCTGTTTTTCTTAAGCAATTTTAAATTTTAACTATCATTTTTTGGTGGAAACTCATTAATCATTGATTAGATTCATGGTGTTCTTGTCTTTTGTGCTTTTTTTTTAAGTTGAACATTGATAACAGTTTGTTTTATAAATATTTCTTTGATTTTTTGTTGACAAATATGTTTTGTGGTCTATTTATATGTATTTTATGGAGAGTGATAAGGTCTTTTATTTTGAAAATTTTTGTATATTTTGAATTTTTATAATATAGAGGAGTATTTTGAGTTGATTTTTTTCACAGAAGAGTTGCCCATATATAGGCTCAGCTCTAGTTGTAGCTAATCTTTACATATACACGATATAACAAGACTGCATTTGTTTTTTAAATGCTAGTTTTCTAAATTTCCATATAAATTCTGAACATGATTATTGTATGAAAGAATCAGCGAAATTCATCGATTGCGAACAATATGAAGGGTGTTTAAGATTCGTTACAATCGTGTATACTTGTTTTGTGTTAATTTGTTGTTTTCATTAGAAGATAACAAGAGTTGTATATGTTTAGTCATTTCTTTTTTATACGGAAATAAAATCACCAAACCCCGCAGCCAAAAATTTGAGTAAGTTTTGTTGTTTTTGTAAAATTGCTATTAAGAACCTGTTAATGAAACAAACACAATTACTTGAAACAGTAAATGTAATCGTAATCGAAAACGAAAGCAGTTAACGTTTCCGGTAACGCATTTTCTTTTTAAGAAAAATTTTACGAATTTTATATAAAATTGTTTTCTAAATTTAATTCACAATTGACTCTGTCGAGGTCAAAGACTAGTCCATAGAGTACTCTATAGATTAGTCAGACAAGTTCATATAGAATAGTTAATAGGCAAATCCATAGACTATTTCAATGACTAGTCGGTAACTGGTTCATAGGCTGGGTATTAGACTAGTACATAGGCTAGTCCATAAATTGGAATAGAATAGTTAGTTCATACAGTAGCCCATAGACTAGACAATAGACTAGTATAAAGACTAGAAATATATCAGGCAATAGAATAGACTATAGACAAGTCCAAAGTCTAATCCACAGATTAGTTCAAAGACTAGTCCATAGATTTGTCAATAGTATAATCAATAGACTAGTCCATTGACTAATAAGTAGACTAGACTATAGACTACTACTATTCCCTTTATATAAGTAACTGATTTAATAATTCGCTATTTTAGTTTTTAAATTTAAGTGTTTTTGGTTTCTTGTGCTTTTTGTCTTAATATGTGCTTTTATTTCATTAAAAAATTGCCTTAACATTATAAAAATTCTATAAACTGCATGTTGCTTTCATTAAAAAAAAATAAAACTATAAATCATAACTAACACACAACTTATTCACCACATTCATATGCAAGTAAGTATTTCATTAAAATATAAAAAAAATTAAAACAGTTAAAATTGAAAAAGATAATACTAAAGTAAAAACCAATTACAGCCCTTCTGCACACCCATTGGAGCCACCAGTAAAGTCTTACAATTAGTAGCTATTTTAAGAAGCAAAGATGCCAGTTCTGTAAGTCGCACCACCTGG